TGCCCAGGAAAAAGGTCTGGGCAGAGTGTCTTTCCAGAAACCTGCCTTGCAGTTCAGTTGCTGATTTCACTAAACTCTTCCGGCCACATCTAATGGAGTTGATGTGCTCAACTAGAGTTGCCAGACCTTTCTCTACCTCAGAGGAAGCGTGGGAGGATTGCTGTCCCAGGGGAAAACAGATCTGAGTGGCTCTTTCCAGGGCTAGCTCCAGGTGTGGAAGTTGACACCAATCTGTCTCACTCCATGGAGTGTGATGTGCCTGTGGTATGAGTCCTAACCAGTGACGGGACCACTGTCCCTCTCTCTCCTTGCCAACCCCCAACCCCCAACAGAATGGGACCCAAGCCGTGGCAACTCTACCTCCTAACTACCTCACATATCTCTTTCCTTCTCCTATCCCCTTCCACATGTGTGGAGTCAAAGCCTCATGGTTTCTCATCTCCACCACCCAGGGTCCTCCAGTGGGTCTCCCTGCCCAGCCTTCACTTTGCTCTAGTCTCTTCTTCACTTACAACCAGAGTAGGTTTGTTCAAACACAAATTTGAATATCACCCTCTGTCTTCAAATTGTTCAGTGAGTCTCCATATCATGCAAGATGTATCCTCACCACACTCCTCACTCTCATCTCATCAATAAGCCCCTTGAGAACAGCAGGGCCTCCTTTCTCCCTGCCTGGGTGCATTTGCTAGCCATGCCTGGCAAGCTCCGTCCTGGCCACATCCTAACTCCTATCTCATTGCTTCCTGGGAGCTTTGGCCTCTCCTCTGTGCCCCCTCCACAGAGTGCTGATGAAACCTCTACTAACACCTGAGGACACTGTGTCTGCTGGTGTCCTGTGACCTCATGATGTGTGGCATGGCCTGCTGGGTCCCCATTCCTGCACCACCAAAGAACAATAACAGCTGCACAGCTCCACACATATTTAGAGAAACTGAGGATATAAGGCTGGGCTTTGAGACCTCACGAATCCCCACACCCTCTGCCTACTCTGCATCTCACCCATTTCTACAAAACATGCACTGACTTGTATCCCTCCAAATGCTATGTATGGACCTTGCATGGGTCCTGACAAAAATAAACCAATGGCAAAGAAATTTTGTAAAAGGACAATTGAGGAAATTTGCATGCGATTATTTGACAAAATTAAAAAATATAAATTTTTAGTGTTATAGTAGAATAAAATTATGATGTCTAGAAAATAGAGCTTTACATTTTAAAAAGAAACATACTAAAGTACACCTCAACAATACTAACATGCATATACCGATGTTCTTCATTGCAGCATTGTTTGAAATTCAAAACATTGAAAACAATAAATGTCCACACATATAAGAGTGCTTGCAGGCCAGGCACGGTGACTCACACCTGTAATCCCAGCACTTTGGGAGGCTGAGGTGGGCGGATTGTGAGGTCAGGAGTTCAAGACCAGCCTGGCCAATATGGCGAAACCCTATCTATAATAAAAATACAAAAATTAGCCAGACATGGTGGTGTGCACCTGTAGTCCCAGCTACTTGGAATGCTGAGGCAGAAGAATTGCCTGAACCTGGGAGGCGGAGGTTGCCCAGGAGAGTGGAGATCATGCCACTGGACTCAGTCTGAGCTACAGAGCAAGACTCCATCTCAAAAAATGAATAAATAAATAAAGTGCTTGCAAACTATGATGCATTCATATGGTGGAGTCTTTTGCAGCTGTAGAAAAATAAGCGAAGACATCTGAACTTAGATGGAGGTGATTTCCAGAATTTATCATTAAGTGTGTGTGTGCATGTGTGTGGAGGAGGCAACAACCACACAAGACAAGGTGCGAAGAGTATTATAGTATGCCCTTTATGTAAGAAGAAAGGTTATAAGAAAATATGTACTTGAGCAAAAGAAAAACAAAAGGAAAGTTAAGAAATTAGTGAGATTGGTTATCTGCAGGGGGATGAGTGAGAAAAAGGGTGGGAAAAAGAGGACTAGGAATGGGGAATTAGGGACAGAGAGGACAGTGTCTCAAAGACACTTTTGTTTAACTCTGGCTCTTAGAATCATGGTAAAGTTCTGCATACCTGAAAACTAAGTAATTAATTGAAACCAACCAGGATGTAAGGAAACCCCAAAGTGGAATATACAAACACTAACAACCTAACAGCATTTCAAATGAATAGATTAACAAACTGAAGGAGGTAGGGAGGTGAAAGAACTGACCTAAATAACCATAGAAAACAGAATTTTGACTGGATGTTGTAAGGCTCAAGACCAAAAAAAAAAAAAAAAAAAAAAAAAAATACAGAAAGAAGAAAAAAATACTGTATTCTTGTTAGTAGATTTGTTTTTCACAGAGGTATGCGCTGGCAATTCTGCAGCTATTTTATGTGTACTAGGATGAAACGAATATGCAAATATTGTATATTTTGGAATAATCATAGCCAGGTTTCTCACTTGTCAGAGGAGTTAGAAATAAGAAGAAAAGGAGATGGCTAAATGAATCTATTGAATTGAAATAGTAGGTATCAGTATGAACTCATTTTTAAATCATATTTATAGAGATAGATATATAAATATGTACAGAAGTGTATGTATGTGTGGGTTAATATGTACATATCTTTCCCACTGGGGAGAGCCTAGAAGCATTGAAAACTCAGGAGCAATGAGTACACGTAGTTCCAAGATCCTAGTTTTGAAATACCTTCCCCAGTAAAAGGAAACAAGGATCTTTGGCTGACTTCAAGGCTGGGGCACAGACAATACAAGATAAGCCTGGAACATCTTTGGCACAGAAAGTATCTGGAAATACTCACAATAAGAGAGGAGGTTTGTCATAAAAGACACAGAAGCCAATCTGAAGGAGCTCCTACAGGCTAAAGCTTTATTTGAGCAATAAAATAGATATTGATGGTATTAGATTATAACCTTTAGAATAAAATATCTATAAATCTGTACTAAGAAAATAACTGAATGAAATGGAAGGGATAAATAAAGGAGAAGAGACAAGCTTTTCTTTACAGAAGAATTCAATTATTAAATGTAGATGGAAAGAGGGGAAATGAAAGTCACTATCAGACACACATTATAGTAATATTGGCTGCATGCAAGATCCATAATGGATGCTCAAGTTAGTGAGTAGAAGCTTATTTTGAAACTGAATACTTTTATAGTCACAAAGTATCTTCCACAAAGATGTTATGAATTCCAAAGGGATAAATAGTAATATTACAGTTGATGAACCTGGCAGACACTACTTTAATCAAGGGATTAAGGTTAAGATCACAATGAGTAAGACATAGTATGTCTTGGATATGAAATTATGTGTGGAAATGATAAGCTGAGACTGGAACAACTGCTGTGACATTTTGCAAAAACTGTGTGTCATCAATTGAGTCATGAAAACATCAGATAGACCCAAATTGAGGTACGTTCACGAAATAATTGACCATTACTCTTCAAAAGTGCATACATCATGAAAGACAAGAAAAGACTGAGGAACTGCTGTAGATTGGAGGTAAATAAGGAGATGTGACAATGAAATGCAGTGCTGGGGTCCTGGATGGGATCCTGGGCTAGAAAAAAGATACCGATTGGAAAACTGGTGAAATTCAAGTAAGGCCTGGAGTTTAGTCAATAGTGCATCAATGTTAAATTCCTGGTTTCGATCATTCATGCTATGGTTACATAAGATGGTAACATTAGAGGATGCTGGAGTGAGGGTATTTGGGAAACTTGTACTAGTTTTGCAATTTTTCTGTTACATAAATAATTCCCCCACAAAAGTCTAAAAGATACACATTGAATTATGGAGAAAAAACTAAGTCTGATATTTGCTTCAAATATTGTCAATAATTGTTGAAGCAAGGTGATGGGTACATCAAGGCTTTGTAGTGTTCTTTCTAGATTTATGTATGTCAGACAATGTCCTTTAGAAAAATAGAAATTACATATACATGTATTAAGCCCTTTCTATATGCCAGGCACTGTGGTTAGCCATGGGGACTTGGCTAACAACCAGGACTTGAGGCCCTGCCTCCAGGGAGCTCTGATCAACAGGGGGAAAGCAGACATGACACACCGGGAGTGTAGAAAGAGTGATGTGATAGAGGAAGCACAGGATGCCTGGGAGCAGGAGAGAAAGAGTCATCAAACAGAAGAAACAGCCTTAAGAGCCTTGGGCTAGAAAGGCTAGCTTGTAAGTCATAAGAGAAAAAATCTGCAAATGACCTCAGGGAATGCAGCTGAAGTCTTTGTCTGCCCAGGGCAGAACAACTCAGCCAGATTCTCTGGGCCTATAAAACTTTGTGACATTATTTGTAATTTAGTCTTTTAAACAAAATTAGAGAACCCAATCTCTCTATGCTCTTGATCAAATCTCTATCTTTCCTGTCATCACCCTCTTACGACACTTTCCTCCTCTCTCCACAATGTTTTCTCATCTGTCATAAAACTGCAGCCTATTTAACCAGATCCTCCTTAAGCAGTGTTTACAGGATACTGGTCCCCAGTGACCTTCTGAGGCAGCCAAATAGATCTGAAATCTTGTTGTGCTTTTATGGATAGCCTTGAAATTAATTCCTGTCATTTTCTTCCTAGCAGAGCTTGGAACTCTGGAGACTAAAGTGGTGTGGGAGTGGCCGCTCCCAACTAGACCCTACCCTCTTCAGAAGGCAGTTGTCATAGTATTAAAACCGCTAACATATACATCAGGAGGTGGCCTGGAGAAGCTGAGCGGAGACCAGCTGGACTTTAATCAGGTTAGTATTGACCTTAAAACTCTTCATAAATGTTCTCATGTCTACTTCACTAAGGAAAAACAATTTTAAATGTGTTAGTTTGTGTAGTACTTTATGTCACTTGCTGCTTTGTGTGTGCTTAGGAGACAACTTAAACATTAGCTCCTGAAGGACATGTCGGTAAAGAAAAATAATATTCAGAGATTAGAAAACAAGGGCAAAGGGTGATGATGAAAAGTGAGAGTGGTATCATTGTGGGCAATCTGAAGATACAACCACATCGGTGACAGGCCACATGCTGCAGCTTGCTTATGGTAAAGTTGTTTATTAAAAACATGTATTCATGATTCATACAGGAATCCAACACACAATTATACTAGATTTAAAGTTGGCAGGGTCACACAATTGGGGAGCACCACTTGATCCCAGTGAAAAAGAAAATGCATCTGGATGGTTGTATTCCTCTAGAACTGGTACTTCCAAATGGGAAACCAATCATTAATGCTTGCCAATCAGAATCTAAGTTTATACTTCCATCATTGATTTTACACAGATTAGTTTATTGCTCATACCAAGTGACTTTGTGACTGAGCACCAAGTAGCCATGCTATTTTCCTTCTTCTTCTCCTCCTTCTTCCCTCCTTCTCTTTGTTCTCTTTGCCCTCTTTCTTCTTCCCTCCCCCTCTTTTCCTCTGCCGCCTCTTCTTGCTCCCATCCTCCTCCTTCTTGTTCAACGTATCTGGGACCAAGGCGGAGCAGGGTTTAAAGTCTCAAAATTGCAAGTGAATCTAAATATATAGGACTTTTAGGGTAGTAGGCAAGTGGATCTAAGAACAGTAATAACCCCCTCTTAAGCTGTTATATTCCCTGTCCAACAGAATATGCAAAGTCCTTCTATGTGCGAGTTCTTCCTATCTGCCAAATTAAATATTACCCTGGGCTACCCTGCCAAAGCACTTACTCAACTTTTTAAAGTAATTTTTTGTGTAGTCATGATGTTTCTACTATGTGGGAGAGTTTGGTTGCTTTGATCATTCTTTTTAAACAGCAGATTGGTGGGTTTCATAATCAGGATTGGTTATTTTATTGCCATAATCCTAGCTTGTTTTGTTTTTTTTTTCCACACACTTTTTGTTTGTTAATTTTGAGAGACAGTCTCGTTCTGTCACCCAGAGTGGAGTGCAGTGATGTGACCACAGTTCACTGCAGCCTTAACATCTTGGGCTCAAGTGATCTTCCCTGCCTCAGCCTCCTGAGTATCTGGGACTACAGGTGGAGACACCAATCCTGGCTAATTTTTTTTTTTAAATAGAGACTTTATTTAATTGCCCAGGCCAGTCCTGAACTCCTGAGCTCAAGCAATCTTCCTTCCTCAGCCTTCCAAAGTGCTGGGATTGTAAGTTTGGGCCACCATGCCCAGCCCTGGTTTGTTTTTAGTGCTCTATACACTGTATTCTAAAACAGCGACCCCTATGAGGCAAATGCGGAAAAAAAAAAAAAAAAAAAAAAAAAAAAAAAAAAAAAAAAAGCATTGCTCTTGAGATATCTAGCCATGTTATATCCTATGAAGCACGGACTGAACTTTGAGCAATGCACTACACTGTGCTTAAAGATGATGACAACTTCTCTGCTTCCCGGGAGCTCACAGTTTGAGGGGTGGGGGACACAAAAATGGTAACTTCTGCAGGCTGTAAATATTCAATAATAAGTCATAACAGGAAGAAACTAGTCTGAATGTCAGAAGACTTGGGTTCTAATCCAGACTTTGACACTAACTAGCTAGTTGGCAAATTGCACAAACCTGGAGGAAGGGCTAGCTAGATCTCTTCTATCTCTATAATTTGGGAAGTCTTGAGGGGAGAGCTAGATATATCAATAGAACATACAGTTTTTATAAGGCACATGAAGTCACCAAACAGGTTGGAACATAATGCAAGTTAGTAGTGCCTGGAATAATTACCAACATAAAAATAAATAAATGAAAACAAAGGTCTTACACAGGAAAGCCTCAGAATCTCAGAGGGACCCTGTGAAGTCACATTGGTGTTGGACCTGTCTAGTGCAAACAGAATTCACAGGTGAAAACAATCCTGCTAAGAAGAAGGAAGACACTCCTGTTGTTCCACCATATATATACTATACTAGCATGCATTTTGCTTCCCTAGACTCATTCATTCCTCCATTCATGCGTTCATTCATTCATTTTAGAGAAACCAAGAGACTGTTACCATGGCGGGGAAGCCCAAGCTTCACTACTTCAATGGACGGGGCAGAATGGAGCCCATCCGGTGGCTCCTGGCTGCAGCTGGAGTGGAGGTATGTTCTGAGTTAGGTCATCTTAAGTTGGACCTAATTGATTGTATCAAAATGTTTTAGTAAGCCAAGAGACTTCCATACTAGTGACCTGTGAATATTTTGACCTCCAATAAAAACATCCCCAGTTATTTTTTTTTAAATGGACAAATTTTACCAAATGTAATTTTAAAAATCTGTCCATCAAAGAGCACATGAAAAAGAAGACATGACCAATGAAAATATATTTTGAAAAGAATCATCAACTAATCACAATGAGTGGACCTTATTTGCATTAGGGTTTAAACAAACTATAAAATATAACTTATGACACATAACAATCAGGAACCTGAATATTGATTGAATATTAGATAATATTAAAGAATTATTGTTAAATTTTTAGTGTGATTTTGTGATGTTAGGTATGATGTTTCTGTTATGTTTCAGAGATACACATTAAAGTATTTAGGATGAGGTAATATGATGCCTCAGATTTGTTTCACATTATGACTAGAGAAGGAGAGAAGCTGGGCATACAAATGAAAGACTGGCTTGGGTTGGGGATTATTGCAGCTAGATGATTGAAACAAAGAGGACTGTTGTATTTTATGTGTATTTTATATACATATGAGAAATTTATACAACAAAATGGTAAGCACATAAGAAACTAAGTGTCATTAAACATAAACTATAAATCACAATAAAGGCAGGGAGGGAGTGGATTGTAACAAACTGCCTGTTAAAGACTGAGCATATTCAGTCAGCAGTTATTTTGCTGTGCACCTACTAAGTGCCAGGTTCTGTCTTGAGGACTGACAGTGAACAAGGCAGACACAATTCCTGCCCTGAGGCAGGCTACATACATGTTTACGAGGACTCAGATAAGTAAACAGGTGATTAAAATCAGGAGTGGGGGCTTCTAGAACACCTAAGCATTCCCCAGTGCTACCAGGCCATCATCCTTCCAGTGTTTGAGCAGGAAATGCTGGGAGGTGTCTGTGGGACTCCGCTAAGCGCTGCCCTCTAGAGGTGTCACTGAGAAAAACACTTCCCAGTCCAGACCAGAGTCCCTCAGTAACTGCCTGAGGGTTTTCCTCCAGAGAAATTAATGGAAAAACTCAGAAGATCTTGTCCCTCGGCTGTCAGCAGAAAAGGAGGGTTTCAGGTGAGGTGGAACTTCTAGCGCACCCCTTCAGCTTCACCGCGCCACGTGGACCTGAACCTTGGGATGGCGCTTTCTCCATTGCTTCACGAGGGCTTGAAACTTTAGCCTCACCCTTTCTCAATCCGATGAGGAAACAAGCACATAAGAAATCCAAGCACTGCCATTTCAGGTTGTTTTCTTTGTACAAATGAATACGCTGTTTCACTGTCACCCAGACATCAGTTCTGCAGCTCAGTGCCTTTTCTCCAGTGACGTTCCCTCCCTAATCATGGACATTTGTGAGACTGTGGGGAGGTGAAGCGAACTAAAAGACGGAGCAGGCCAGGAGCGGTGGGTCGCACCTTTAATCCCAGCACTTTGGGAGGCCGATGGGGGAGGATTGCTTGAACCCAGGAGTTCAAGATGAGTCTAGACCACGTAGCGAGACCCCAGCACTACAAAATAGAAATAAAAAATTAGCTGGATGTGATGGTGCATAAATATCGTCCCAGCTACTCAGGTGGCTGAGGTGGGAGGGTCACTTGGGCCTGGTAGATCAAGGCTGCAATGAGCCGTGATCACACCACTGTTCTCAAACCTGGGCGACAAAGTAAGACTTGGTCTCAAAATAAATAAATAAATGAAAAAGAAGATTGAGCAGTTATATGGTCTGACCCATGCCTGTTTCTTGAGGGATCTAATCTAAATTTCCAAGCAGCCATGATGAACTTCTTCTGTGTCCCCTGCCAAACTCAGAAATCTTATGTTCTCCAAATTATGTACCAGATGGGGGCCATTCAAGGTCACAAGTCTATAAGGCTATGGAATGAACTAACAAGAACCCATTTACTGTTTCTGCTTCCAGTTTGAAGAGAAATTTATAGAATCTGCAGAAGATTTGGAAAAGTTAAGAAATGGTAAGATCAAGTCTCTAAGTGCCTCTGATGAGGGTATCTGGTATCTAGTAGAGAAGGTACAGTTGAAGATTTTTTTTTTTTTTTTTTTTGAGACGGAGACTCGCTCTGTCGCCCAGGCTGGAGTACAGTGGTGCTATCTCGGCTCACTGCAAGCTCCACCTCCCGGGTTCATGCCATTCTCCTGCCTCAGCCTCCCGAGTAACTGGGACTACGGGCGCCCGACACCATGCCAGGATAGTGTTTTTTTTTTTTTTTTTTTTTAGTAGAGACGGGATTCCACTGTGTTAGCCAGGATGGTCTCTATCTCCTGATCTCGTGATCTGCCTGTCTCGGCCTCCCAAAGTGCTGGGATTACAGACGTGAGCCACCGCGCCTGGCCATAGTTGAAGATTTTAACACCAGGTGACGCCTGTGTATGTGTAGGGTGGTAGTTGGGGTGGTGGAGAGGGAGAAAGTGGTTAAAGTGGAAGGGATGAGGCTCCCTGAACAGATCTGGCAACTGTCTCCAGGCTAAAAGGCCAGACCTCTCAGAGTATTTGCTAGAAGAACCATCCCCAGTGGCCTGAGAATGCCCTTTCCTTGTTTTCATGCTTGGGGCACCGTGAATGAGCTGTGGTCATCAGCTCAGGATCCCACACAGACTTCCCCATCCAAGGACACACAAGAACATTAATAAGATGAAAAGAATAGAAATAGATATGGCCATTACCTTGAGTTGTTTTCTTTCATGAGTCATGTGACAAGGTCATATTGTAGCAATATTGTAGGTTTGGAAGAACACAGAAAGGGACCTCTACATAAAATTGTGTCTCAGAACCTACTTTAAAGGCCATGGATACCGTGAGACTTACCCTGGGAAGTTCTCATTTTAAATGACATCTCCCTGGCACTCCCATTGTAACCTGTCTCAACTTTTTCGTAAAATACCATGAAGATAAATCAACCCAAGAAAAATACAAGGGATCTACTACGTACCTGGATGGGGAATAAAAGCAGAGATGAAATAACAGGCTAAAAGGTAAAAGGAATCAGATCAGAAAAAGAACTACAGGCAGCTAAAATCAAAATACTATTTCATTTTGGAGGTTAATAGGCAATAATTTCTTTTTCATTTTATAACCTCAGTCATTTCAACTATTGTCTTTTATTTTTGAAATAGTGGGATTCATAGAAATTTCATGCTCCTTTTTTTTTTTTCCTTCTTTCTAAAGATGGGAGTTTGATGTTCCAGCAAGTACCAATGGTTGAGATTGACGGGATGAAGCTGGTGCAGACCAGAGCCATTCTCAACTATATTGCCAGCAAATACAACCTCTACGGGAAAGACATAAAGGAGAGAGCCCTGTACGGTATATTTTCTGTTCTTTCCTCCACAGAGAACACAGAGTGATTTAGGTCCTTCCCTGAGTGGGTGGGACCGTGGCAGGGCATCATGACCAGCAGCAGGCTGGGCCTTGGGCGTACATACTGAGGTCCAGTATTGCAGAGTCCCGTGGAGATGAGGGGACAGTGAACATGGGGAGGGTTCAGGCGAGGGTGATTCTAGAAGAGGATGCAGTCCATGGATCCAGCACCCTGACAAAGTTTCCAAACACTCATAAACCCTGTGAACTGAGGAGGATGGGGAATCAAACACTCATAAACCCTGTGAACTGAGGAGGATGGGGAATCGTGATTCCAGGTGGTCAGGCCTTCAGAGGCTGGACTCCAGCCAACAGCTTAGCACAGGCATAGAATGTTTGAGAGTCTGTAGATGAAGGCTTGGGGAGGGAAGATTGCAAAGAAGCTGAATATCAGGTCCCAGTAATTCCAAGAATGATGATCAGGAACCCAAGTTACCAGCCAATTATATGGACTGGTAAACTTGAGCAAGGCTAGTAGAGGCTGGCACCCAGAACTCTGGGGTTACCCTGACATATTGATTCAAGGCTGAAGCAGCTAGATTTATAGAATACCAGCAAAGCCATGGGGTCTTCTCACTGTTGTGATAGGGCTGCCTGATTCTAAATAACATCCTATGTGAAACTTCAAAAAGTTTAATGTAAAGTTACCAATGACCCAGCAACTCCTCTACTAGGTATATACCAAAAGAATGAAAATACTTCCACACCAAATCTTGTACATAAACATACAGTGCAAATAACAGCAATTTTCATGGTATTCAAAAAGTAGAAACAACCCAAATGTCTATCAACCAATAAATGGAGGAACAAAGTGTGCCTTAGCCATGCAATGGAACAATATTTAGTCATGAAAAGAAATGAAGTACTGATGCATGCTACAAGAAAGTTGAGCCTTAAAGACACATTACATGAAAGAAATCAGACACACAAAAGAAAAAAAGGTCTCCTAAAATATGTCCTGGTTGTAACTGTGCAAAGAATTTCACCAAGGAAGGGGATCTTTTAGGTGGGGTCTCAAGTAATGCACATGTGGCTAGAGTCAGGCAACAGCACATGGAGAGGGCTGTAGAATTATGTTTCATGGGAGTTACGGGAAAAACTGCTAATATTGGGCATAGAAGTGGGCCTGGGAGATGAAAAATGATGAGACAGGTTGAGGAACATGACAGAGATGGCTGTGCCAGGGACTCTCTTGGGATTACTCAGGAGGCAGGTCTTTGACAATTTGACTCGCACTAAATTTATGCACAGAACAAACCATAATAAAGATGATCTATCCTGGCACAGCATTGGTGGGTACTGGCAGTGATTCCACCAATTTCTCTCATGACTGTGACTGTAGACAGGTCACCGATGCTCTTTGTACCTGTATTTGGTCATGTGCATAGCAAAGATTTTAGAGATATATCTACCTCAATAAGTTGTTTTAAGAAATAAATGGCGGCTTGGCATGGTGGCTCACACCTATAATCCTAGCACTTTGGGAGGCCAAGGCGGGTGGATCACGTGAGGTCAGGAGTTCGTGACCAGCTTGGCCAACATGGCGAAACCCTATCTCTACTAAAAATACAAAAATTATCTGGGCGTATTGGCAGGCATCTGTAATCTTAGCTACTCAGGAGGCTGAGGCAGGAGAATCCCTTGAACCCTGGAGGCGAAGGTTGCAGTGAGCCAAGATTGTGTAACTTCACTCTGGCTTGGAGAACAAGGGAAACTCCATCTCAAAAAAAAATAAAAAAAAGAGAGAAAGAAGGAAGGAAATGTCAATATACATGCAAAAATCAGAGCATACTGACTAGAATATAAAAGGCACCCACTGGAGGTGAATTACTTTGCCACCATCTGACCCTCTATTCTCTTAGGTTTTTATAAACCTACAAAATCTAAGGCAAGAGGCATTTGATGCTTTGGCTGTTTTTGTCTTTCAGAATTGATATGTATACGGAAGGTATGGCAGATTTAAATGAAATGATCCTTCTTCTGCCCTTATGTCGACCTGAGGAAAAAGATGCCAAGATTGCCTTGATCAAAGAGAAAACAAAAAATCGCTATTTCCCTGCCTTCGAAAAAGTAGGTGAAGCTGTTCAGCATTTTGGGGCACTGAGTTTAGAGGCCAGTAGAAAAATAGTGGCTGGGCATTCCTGGGGCACTGACCTTCACTTTCAGTGAGACTTCCTGAACACCAGTGCAGCTCTCTGACTCTCAAGGCATTTTATGAAAATTGACTTAGAGGAACAATGATACCACTTATCTCCAAGTTATAATTTTCCAGCAAAATTTCAATTTACTAGACTCCAGTATAGAATTCTCTATTCAACAAAATTTTGTTTGTAAGTAGAACGTGGGCTGTGGAAGGCTCTGAATCACATAGAGGTTGCTGTTGAGTCTATGGAACATATGGAGAAATGAAGACTGAAATAGTCTACTCCTGGAGGAAGAGTGCCGTCATGAAGGTGGAGTCGTTGCCCAAGACAGATTGGAGAGGGAGAGAGTAGAGTGTAGAGCCTCATCCTGAATGTCAAGGCTACACACTGTAGGGCCTGGGGCAGACAGAACATGTAGCAGCAGGTGCTAAACCCCTGGCCCATGTGGAAAATGCAAGCAGGGTGGGTGGTGTGGATGCCACAGTTATGCGGAATAAGAAGAGAAAATGGAGCCTGGGCTCCAACCCAGGAGTGAGCTAGAACCACATTCTTGCTCCCTCACTCAATCAGGGAACATAAAGGCCTGGACCTTCACACCATCCAGTTAGGCCACACAGGTGGGAATGTCAGGCTGGAAAGACTCAGGGAGAAGCAGGGGTCCCAGCCTGGGTGGGCATGTGTTTCTGATCTGATGTCTCAAATTCTCCAGGTGTTACAGAGCCATGGACAAGATTACCTTGTTGGCAACAAGCTGAGCCGGGCTGACATTAGCCTGGTGGAACTTCTCTACTATGTGGAAGAGCTTGACTCCAGCCTTATCTCCAGCTTCCCACTGCTGAAGGTGACCCATTTCACAGCCTTCAGAGAGGCAGCTCCACATGTCCCGTCTTGGGGTCTAGTATCTGGGTCCTTGGACTGGCCATGTTCTGACCCGAGCCTTTTTCAGGTCTTCACTACCCCTAGGTCTCCAAAATGAGCTTCCAGATTCCAATTTTGAGGCATGAAAGACTCTTGTTATGGAAAGGAAATTCATGGTGCATGCTACCCCATGAAAAGTATTTTGCCTTTTATCATGGAAAGGACCCAGGGCTCAGCATCTTCCTCCCTCCCCCATTCCTCTGTGGTCTATTCCTGAGTTTTCTGTGATGCCCTTTATCCCAGGACTGTCCTTGTGTTCCCACACTGAGTTGGTCTGAGCAGGGCCCTTTCCATCTGGTTCCTTCCTTAGGCTCTGGCCAGGGTGGCCAGCAGGAGCTATCAGATAATCATGTTCCTCTGTGCACAGCTCACCAACCACACTGCCCCCAACCCTGTATCTCTCACTGAGAAAAGGTGGTCCCATGGTTTGACTTTAATATTTTCTATAACATTTTACTTTCTAACTCATTTCTCTGTATTTTCATTTCTGCTTAGAGACTGATCTGTATTGATATCTCATGGGCACATTATTTTTTCTTGTCTTATACAAGAGTCATTCATCTACAGGATTAATATGTAAGGAGAAAGATAGGGATGACTGAACTGATTAAAAGTTTAAGACATCTTTGGGGAGAATAAAGTGAGCTACATGTCCTTCCTCTTATCTTCATTTCTCACTGGGTGTCTGTTTCTGCCTCCATGCTGGTGCTGATGGAGGGGACTCGCTTGGTCTTTGGCAGGAGGGGTCAGATTCCCTGGGTGGTATTAATGGTGGTGGCAGGCCTTGGCTTCACTCTGAGGCTGTGCTTTGTGAATTACAGGCCCTGAAAACCAGAATCAGCAACTTGCCCGCGGTGAAGAAGTTTCTACAGCCTGGCAGCCCAAGGAAACCTCCGCCAGATGCAAAAGCTTTAGAAGAAGCCAGAAAGATTTTCAGATTTTAATAAAGCAGCCATGGAGGCCAAGAGCATGCAAGACCAATATTCTAAAGTTTGCAACAATGAAGTGCTTTACTTAAGTGTTGACTGTGCCTGTTGTAAAGCTAATGAATCCTTTTCAATTATATGCTAATTAAATAATAAAAACTCCTATTTGCCTACTTAGTTAAAATTTAAGCCTTTTCATTAGGATCTGATATGAATTCAGATTTCTAATCTCCTCCTAACCTGTCTCTTTCTTGAAAATAAAAATTTAGTAAAAATGGGAAATGTAAGTTATATGGTTTGTTTGACTTTTAACAAGAATTATCCTGTAACTTTTATCATACAATCTATTAAAATATCAATGTAGAAATGCGCTCCTGACATTTTCAGGTATGCACAGGAGAAGAGTTACCATTCTGGGTAATGGCATAAAGACATTTTCTTCTTTTCCTGGACAGTCATTTTATTTCTGATAAAAGCGTTCTTTCTCCTGCATTTTTACAACGATGATTCTGTCTGCTGTGGATTCCTGTCTTCTAGGAGGTGAGGAAATATTGAAGAGCAAACAGACTCATCCTCTGCTCTCAGGCCACCCTGTTTTCCTTTACAATGTGTGTGTTCCTGGCTTATCCTCACTCTGCTGCTTAAGGCTCTGTGGGGTCCCAGGCATGAACCTTCCCTCACTTCCCTCAGTGCCACTCAGGCCTGGGCTGCCAAGATACAGATGTTATATGTGAATTACATACAAATAACTATATGCGAAATCATTTTTCCCTGGTGTGTCATTGTGCCAGAATGCTTCGATTAGGAGTGCTTTCTAGTTTCAGCCCCTACTGGGCCTGTAATGTTACTCTCTCCCAGGACACCTGGGCTTCTGCAATTTGAGTTCTCCTCTTAGAGTGAGCTTCCCCACAGTTGGCAGAGGTGGGTGAGAGAGCAGACAGACACACACGCTTCCTACCTGCAGCTTCACTTTGCTCTAGTCTCTTCTCCACTTACAACCAGAGTAGTTTTTCTGAAATGCAAATCTGAATATCACAGAATTCTTCAGTGAGTCCTGACTGCATACAGAATGCATCCTCACACCCATCCTCACTCCCTGATCTTCAGCCCAATCAACCCTCTGGGCATGGTGGGGCCTCTTGCCCTCCTGCCTGGGCGCATTTGCTAGCCCTGCCTGGCAAGCTTCTTCCCAGTGGCCACAATTAAGTCTACCCTGTTGCTTTTCAGGAGCATTGGGCTGTTCTCTGTGCCCTCCTCACAGCCCCATTGAGCCTCTAACAACACCTGAGGGCCACTGTGTCTGCTCCCTTGTACTGCGAGCGCGGGTATGGGACACTTACATGAACTAGAATGCTGAAGCTTTGATGAATCTAGGAAATTATAGAATTTTAATATGATAAGAGAATTGTGTGATCATGTTTCGACAAGTAGTTCTTCCTTTCTAGAGATAAATACTAGTATTTACCAAAGAAATGATATGCTGTCTGGAAATTGCTTCAAAAGAATCCCTTGGTAGCGGGGGAGTACATGGAAGTTTGTACTGTTTTCTTGTGGCTCCTGTCACAGATTCCTACAAACAAGGTGGCTTGAAACAACAGAAATTCTGAAGGCCAAGAAATCTGAAGTCAAGTTGTGAGGGCCACATTCCCCTGGAAGCTCTAGCGAACAATCCTTCCCTGCCTCTTACAGCTTCTGGGGGCTGTTGACATTTCTGGACTTTCTTGGATCTTGGCCACAACACTCTACTTTCTGCCTGGGGCTTCCAGCACCTCACCCTCTGTGTGTCTGTCTTCTCTGTTGTAGGTACACTTCTTATTGGATTTAGGGCCTATTTAGATATACCGGGATGGTCTCATCTCAAGATCCTTAACTTCATCTGCAAAGAGCCTTTTTCCAAATACGGTCATATTTACAGGACCCAGGGGTTTGGATATGGACCTATCTTCTGTGGCGGCCAACATAACCCACTGCATGGTGTAGATGAAGAAAGGTTTTTGTCAATTGGTGAATCCAGGTCATGGGTACTTTCAACTTTGTTATATTATTCTGTCTACTTTTGTATTTGCTAGAATTTTTCCATGTAAATTAAAAAACTTTCGTATTTTAGGAGCTCCTACAATGACCAGGTTTTGTGCCAGACAATGAGGAATGGAATTAAACAAGGGGAAGAAGGCTTTTCCCTCAGGAGCTCAGGGTCTAGTGAGGAAGCTGATATTGAATATGTCATGTGAAAACAGCGTAGGGTAAGAAGACACAGTAGAGAAAATATTGTAGTAGGTGAAAGTAGTGCATTCCAGTCAGGACAATCACCATGTGCAAAGGCCCAGAAGTCAGGAAGGATGACCTGAGTGATGCAGAGAGGAAAGAGTATGCAAATAGGGTGGCTAGATTTGGCAGATAAAATACAAGACACCCAAGTAAATATGAAATTCAGATGAACAATCAATACTATTTTTGTATAATCGTATTACCTACAGTGCTTGGGACATACTTATACTAAAAAGATATTGATTATTTGCCTGAATTGCACATTTTCCTGGGTTCCCTGCATTTTGTGTGGCAACCCAGTAAGAGAAGCCTTCCAGAGTGCCATCAACCTGCCCTTCATGGACATCCCTTCCCAGCTACGCTCCCAGCAGAGATTTCTCATCTGCCTTAGTCCTTACATTCAAGTCATGAAAAGTGAGCATCTTCAAAAAGCCAGTTTCTGCTGACTTGTAAAGAGAGCAAAATCTGCTGAAATGTTTTGTTAAACTTTTATTGCCAACCCTGAAAAGGAACATGTTAACCAGTTACCTTGTGATAAGAGGATGACTTGCCATTTTTCTTAGAATCTAGTAGGCAGTCCTGTGACCCTGAAACTTGTGGGAGTGGCTTTTGGCTAAATTGACTGTATCTCTTTCAATGGGAGGGAGCTATGGAAAGGAACATGTAGCTTATAAACGCATTAGGACCTTAAATTAAGCTGTTGAACTATGAGCGTGACAGCCTTTAACAAACTAAGCACTGATCTTGTAAATCTTCTCACACTGCCTCATATCCTCTCATCTAGGTCACCAGAGAAATACTTTTAAATGTATCCTTCGCACAATAAAAACAAATCTGTTTAACACTCACATCAGTGCCTTCTTTGTGTGCTTGGATGAGAGTTCGAGTTGTGCATTCAGTTGCTTTTGGATACATCGTGTCAACTCAATAAACAGAAAGAGACTCTAAAATAAAAGATATTTATTTGGGAATAAAGTTTTGTAATGGGTAAATTACATAGCAAACCGCATATATACTTAGGGAGATAAAGGAAGACAAAGGTTTTTTAAGAAAACAATGAAAAGGATTAAATAAATTTTAAAAATACTTATCATTCACTACAAACATCAATAACAAGGGTGACGTCAGGCCAAGTTTGAACTGGCAGCTGCTGGTCAGATGTCCTTGCAGAAGTTTTTTGTATAATGCTGTGATAACCTTTGTGCAAGATTATGTTTTTTGTAACTTTTTTCTTATCTGACATAAAAGAATGAAAACCTTCTCTTCCTGGCTTTTTCAGCTCTGTTTGTCAAGGTTTTCTTAACATTAGTAACTTCATTTTGTTTCTGATAACGTTCACGATCATTACAGAAATGTAAAAATGAAGAATTTATAAAACTAGGGCATGAGTATATAATAATAGGAAAAAAGTTAATGATCTAAGGTAAAAAAAAAAAAAGTGATGGTGCCATTTTAGATAATCTGAGAATATGAGCAGTGCCAGAGGAAACATAGGTGTTTGTGCCAAAGTTGCTTTTTCTAGACAAGTAGTCAATACACCATTGTTGCGAATGAAAATTTGGCAAGATCACAGACCTGGGATTCCCAATGACCAGTGAAAGGGACATGTATCTGCACAGTTCCACGTCTGCAGTTGTTTCTCCAAACCTCCATCTCCTGCTGAGGAAAGAGCCACCAATATCCACCAAACACAATTGTAATTTACAGCTTGATGGTAGATATCACACACATTCGTGCTTGCTTCCGGAAGTGCTTTGTGATTTGTTGCCAAGTGTTGACGCCACTGACTTTTCAATATTACTTTAAGGTTATTGTGCTCCAAAGGGCAGGCAAAATCTTCTGTGAGCCACTGTGTAGAACTTGCAGGTTAATCTAAGTCTGTAGAGCTTTTAGTTTTATAAAGCAAGGTGACCTAGATTGATGAAGAAAAAAATTAAAAACAAGAATGCCCTTCTTGTGAATTTTTACATCCTGATTCAATGATTATTTGTTAATCCTTGTCCATTGCCCAGTTGAACATTTGTCCAAAAATCCTGCTTTTTCCAAATTCCTCCTTCCTTACTCCTTCTGTGCCTACTTAGTGGAACAATCCCATTTCTTTAGTAATTCTGCTTGAACTGCAGAAAACTGAGTCTGATCATCAGGATTGGTTGACCCATTTTCATGATTCTATTATTTAATTTTTCTATTTAATTTTTTCTATATTATTTAATTTGCACATCAAGCAAGCTCGAAAGTGGAAATTGGAGAAATCTCTGTGACCACTAAAATGTATAGCAGTGCTATTCCTATTAGAATAAATTAGTCTCTGAATGTCAGGAAAACTAGAATCTAATTTAGTCTTTGCTACTAATTAACAGGATGACAAGTCACATTCTCTCTCTGGGGTTCAACCAACTCATGACAAACCTAGAAAATAGCTAAGAAAAAGTCTCTCACCCTTGGCATCCCTTGGGTTGGGTAATTATTTGTGTGCAAGAGCTGCCTTGTGCATGAGAGGACATTTCAAGGCATCACTGGCCTCTACCTACCTGATCTTGTAGCACTACATACCCCCAAGTTGTGACAACCAAAAATGTCTGCAGACATTGCTGAATGGGATAGGGGAGTAGAACCTCTCCTCGTTTAGAATCACTTGACTACATGACTTCTCAAAGTGTTAAAAGTCAGAAGTCCTGATAGGAGAACTACATAGTCATTCGAGCATACAACTAGTTTTTAAGAAACGCCAAAAGGCATCTGACTAGAATGTATGATGTCATTAGAGTACAAGAGTCGACGATGGCCTGGAATAAATGTTTAATATTGAGGGGCAGGAGATGTTATAAAAGGAAGATGAGGAGTTTCAGTGAGATCCTCTTTTTGGATCCAGATTTGAGAGCTATGCAAGCTATAAAATAATTCACAGGAAAGAAATATAGCACCCATGTGAGAAGATACTGAAATGAGAGTTGCAAGAGGTTACAGAGAGCAATGTTTAAATACAGATGAGTGATCCTACTTTGAAGGGTAGGAAAGCAGAAATTAGGAGGTACAAAATCCACTGAACCTGCAGATTGAGATGCTACTGTGGAAAAAAGGAGCCCACCTGGGCAGAAGATACTGGGTCCTCAGCTTTTTCTGAGTCTGGTAGCATTTTCCCCTTGCTCTGATTTGCTTGGCTAAGAGAATTATGATTCTTGGGTTGGAATTTTCAGGAACCCATTAAAGTGAAGTCACTGCTGAGCACATTCTGTTCTGTTAGTTGTCCACAAGCCTGTTTTTCTTTTTTCTTTTCTCTTTTTTTTTTTTTTTTTTTTTGAGACAGTCTTGCTCTGTCACCCACAGTGGGGTACAGTGGCATGATCTAGGCTCACTGCAATCTCCACCTCCTGGATTCAAGTGATTCTCCCACTTCACCCTCCCTAGTAGCTGGGACTACAGGCACATGCCACCATGCCAGGCAATTTTTTTTTTTTTTTTTTGGCATTTTTGGTAGAGATGAGGTTTCACCATGTTGCGCAGGCTGGTCTCGAACTCCTGGGCTCAAGTGATCACCTGTCTCGGCCTCTGAAAGTGCTGCGATTAGAGGCATGAGCCACTACACCCGGCCTCACAAAGCTATTTTTCTGACTAGATTTAAACCCTTTAGAGTAAGGACCAAATCAGACCAAATATTTTTTGCTACAAGCCATCATCATTGCTTGAGACACTGAAACTGTTTTTAAAAGAGGCGAATACTCCAGAAACAAGGCATTGAGGAAGGATCAGCAAAATGTCTGCATTTCAGGTAAGTAACAGGATGGTGTAGAGAAGTGACTGTTTTCATCAAGTGTTAAGAGTGAGACCCTGCTCAAGAGCTATGAATAGCTGGAGAGAGGCAGTGGGGCTCCCACATGCATGGCTGGAGTTCATGCAAAGGGGGCCTGGCAGTAGGAAAGGCTCAGACTGCCCTGAGCAGGGGGTGAGTGGTAACTGGGCCTGGTCTGAGGAGAGAGGCCCACCAGGTGCAGGGTATGGGAGTCTTTTTCTGGGATATAAATCATCTTTTTTCAAGGTTATAAAACAACCTGGGAACCAGGGATCTGCTGCAGTCTAGGAGTTAAGCAAGACTGTGTTAACGACGGGTCAGGCCTCCCTGAACCTTCGCTGATAACTTCCTGTTAATCCAGTGTATTAGTCTGTTCTCAGGCTGCTAATAAAGACATACCTGAGACTGAGTCACTTATAAAGTAAAAAGGTTTAATGGACTCATAGTTTCACGTGGGTGGGAGGCCTCACAATCATGGCAGAAGACAAAGGAAGAGTAAAGGGACCTCTTACATGGCAGCAGGCAAGAGAGTGTGTACAGGGGAGCTCCCCTTTATAAAACCTACAGATCTCGCGAGGCTTACTCACTGTCAGAACAGCATGGAAAGACCCACCCCCATGAGTCAATTATCTCTCTCTGGGTTCCTCCCGTGACACGTGGGAATTACGAGACCTACAATTCAAGATGAGATCTGGATGGAGACACAGCCAAACCATATCACCCAGGTTGACTGGATTCATGAATATCATTAACCTCTGTACAGGAGCTTTATAGAAAAGACCCATTGTATGACTTCTTTGGAAAAAAATCTGGATATACATAAAATCTTTTTTTTTTTTACCAGAGCTTGATGGGTTAAGAGAGACAGAGAAAGAGAGAGAGAGAGGAGACCCCAGTACTACCCAGTGTGTTCAGAGAGACTCATCCACATCCCAAGAAGTGGGGGTCGGAGGACACTCTCATTACTCAGTTCCTATTATGAATTTTATGTACATTATTTTATTAGTCTGTTTTCACACTGCTATAAAAAATACCTGAAACTGGTTAATTTATAAAGAAAAGTGGTTTAATTGACTCACAATTCTGCATGGCTGGGGAGGCCTAAGGAAACTTAACAATCATAGTGGAAGGTGAAGGAGAAGGAAGTACCTTCTTCACAACGCAGCAGGAAAAGGAGCAAGCAGGAGAAACCACCGCTTATAAAACCATCAGATCTCACGAAAACTCACTCACTATCGTGAGATCAGCATGGAGGAAACCACTCCCAAGATCCAATCACCTCCACCAGGTCTCTTCCTCAACATGAGGGGATTTTAGAGATTACAATTTGAGATGAGATTTGGGTGGGGACACAGAGCCAAACCAGATCAATTATTTCATTTAACTTTCTCAACAGCCCTCAAAAATAGGTATGGAAATCCCTATGTTTTGTTTGTTTATTTTAGGCAGAATCTCTCTGTGTCACCCAGGCTGGAGTGCAGTGGTGCAGTCTCAGCTCACTGTAACCTCCATCTCCCGGGTTCAAGAAATTCTCCTGCCTCAGCCTCCCTAGCAGCTGGGACTACAGACGCCTCACCACACCTGGCTAATTTTTTTTATTTTTAGTAGAGATGGGGTTTCACCGTGTTAGCCTGGCTGGTCTCAAACTCCTGATCTCAAATGATCTGCCCATCTCGGCCTCCCAAAGTGCTGGGAGTACAGGCGTGAGCCACCACACCTGGCCAACAATCCCTATTTTGAAAAGAGAAAATTAAACTCAGAATTCAGAGAGCCTGCTGAGTTTATGAACCCCATAATGGAAGGAGTTGTGGTTTATCTCAGTCTACCTTCTCTCTGACAAGAAACAGTGTAATTAGGACCACCCAGAGACCTAACTCTTTTAATTTACTACTGAGATTATCATAGGTTATATTTCTTTCAATACAAGCTCATTTTCTAATTGAGGTAAATATACTAGTCCTCAACTCACTCAGGTTTTTAGGTTGTCATATCAGGGAAAGGCACACTTTTATTAATTTTTTCTTCTAATCAAGCTCCTGAAAAGCTGCTAACAGAAAGGAACTCAAGATTCAGATGTTTGTCTCTTGCCCTCGCCTTTAAACCTTTAGCTGGCTAATGGAGTCTGAATGGGAAAATACGAAACAATTTCTCAGACAGAAGCAGAGCCAGCATAGGGTAGAGTGGAAAAGCTCTGGACCTGCAATTAGAAGGAGTTCAGGCTGACCCTACAGGCACCAAGTGTGCAGCGTGGGCCAGTCGCTTTAGCTCTTGAACTTCAGTGTGCCCATCTTTCATTAGGATATTAGGAACCATTTCCCAGGGTTGTTGCAGAAGGTAGACACACTCCCTAGGTATTGGTCTGGCTTTTGGAAACCTCATATTGGGAAGGTGATATGTTACTTATAAGCAAGAGCATTATGATAAAATGCTATGTAAGATAACAATTCATTTCCCTTTGAAACATGATCCTCAGTAATGGCTAAGGGTACAAGTGTGCGACTTGAGTCACCCTATGAACTCTAGTTGATAACAATTAAACAAGCACACCCACTCTCTGGGTGAGGTTCACTCTCCCTTTCCTTCTGCTGAATCATGCTATTTGCATTTCCAATGAGAGGGAAGTGCAATGTGTAAAGTCTCTAATTACAAGACAGATGAGTTGATTAAGTATGTTCAAAGAATTCTTTACTTTCTATAAGTTAGACTGAGTTCCACATTTTAAAATGTAGATATTTAAGAGATTTTGATTTCCAAATTCAAGTCATACATACTTTTTTAGAAATACATCTGTTGGTAAAGACAAGTATATTTTTGTACCAATATACCAACCTTGACGACCACGAAAGTTTGCAGGAAGAATCTTAATATTTTATAACAGAGCTGGGGGTTTGGAGAGAAAATCCCACTGTTCCTAAGTCCTGGCACTGGAATGCCTGCTTTCAATGAGTCTTGTGTGTTTCCATTCAAACTCATGATACAATTATTTATGGTCTGTCCCGGTAGACTCGGTTTTCATTCTCTGATACTCTGCTATGTTCCACCTCCCAAGCAGGCTAGGAGAAAGCAAAGGCTATCAAACTTCCTTGACAAGCCCCGATAAATTTATCTCTAACCATTTGCAATGGCCAAAATGAGCTGCACGCATGCAAACATCCATACACATAACATACATATAACTGAAACTAAAAACTCATGAAACATTACTTACCCTTCAACATGTCATGCTCTCTGGTATCTTTTATTCTTTTATATCTTATTTTTAAAGTATTGGGTTTCACAGTCTGCTGAAAGATTACCGTGCGTATTTGAGAGACATTAACACAAAAAATAAGTCCCAGTCCTTTTTTTTTTTTTTTTTTTTTCTTTTTTGAGACAGAGTCTCACTCTGTCACCCAGGCTGGACTACAGCAGCCTCTACCTCCTGGGTTCAAGCTGCTCTTGTGCCTCAGCCTCCTTAGTAGCTGGAATTACAGGCGTGCACCACCATGCCTGGATAATTTTCTGGTATTTTTAATGGAGACAAGGTTTCACCAATGTGGCCAGGCTGGTCTCGAACTCCTGACTTCAGGTGATCCACCCACCTCGGCCTCCCAAAGTGTTGGGATTACAGGTGTGAGCCACTGCGCCCAGCCAGTCTTTGGTTTTGAATAGCAATGGATTTGAATCCCAGATCCACCACTTACTTTGGGCAAGTTACTCAAAAAGCCTCAGTATTCTCAACTGTAAAATGACATTAACAACAGCACTCACCTTAGGTGATTTTTGTAGAATAAAATGAAGATAAATTTGTAAGAATGGCCAGTGTGTGACTGACATTGAACAAATGCCAGCTCCTTCCATTCCCTGCAAAATTAATGCAGCATCTCTTTTTCCAGGTTATAAAACAAAATGCACCCTATAGAGGTAGAAAATACAATTCTAAGAGAATCAAGAAAATTATGATTCTCTGTCTGTTAAGAATTTGGATCTCATAGTTACAGTTAAGCAAGTCTGAGGCCCTATTTCTCCCTTTGATCAAACGTAGCTGTATTAGTCCATTTTTACACTGCTATAAAGAACTTCCCTGAGCCTGAGTAATTTATAAAGGAAAGATTTTAACTGACTCACAGTTCCACACGGCTGGGGAGGTTTCAGGAAACTTACAGGCATGGTGGAAGGTGAAGTGGAAGTAGGCATCTCTTCCCAAGGCGGCAGCAGCAGAGAGAGAGAGAGAGAGAGAGAGAGAGAGAGAGAGAGAGAGAGAGAGAAGGGGGAACTGCCCTTTATAAAACCAACAGATCTCGTGAGAACTCACTCTCAGGAGAACAGCATGGGGGAAACCGCCTCCATGATCCCATCACCTCCCACCAGGTCCATCTCTCAACATGTGGGGATTATGGTTATTACAATTTGAGATGAGATTTAGGTGGGGACACAGAGCCAAACCATATCAGTAGCCTAACAGCCGAAGAGCTAAAGAGTGACTTTGCTTCTTCCTGGTCCTCCCTGTCATGATATCCTCTGGTTTCTTCATCACTTACTGGGTTCTCAGGGCCTTCACCTAGGTGGGTTCCAGATCTGCCTTCATTTTAGTCCTGGGTGTGGATTTTCATGTTCATCACCACCTAGAGTGTGATTGTGGACATTGCATTTCACTTCTCTGATGTTCCATTTCATTAACCAAAAAATGGAGATACTAACAGGTATTTCATGGGACTTAGGAGGATTAAAGATATAACATATTAAAAGAGACTAGCATTGGGGAAGTATCACCAGGATGTTTTTAACAAATATTAGTTCTTGAATTCTTCCTCTTCCCGCTACCTTCCATATATGCATTATTACCACAAACTCTCACCTCTTAGCATGACGAGAATGGCTACATTTAACCAATGGGCACGTGAGACTGGTTTGCTGGAATCTGAGGGTGGCCACCGATGGGTAACAATTTGGGCCAAGAAAACATTCCAGGAATTCCTCCAACCCAGTTATGAAGAAGGTAGATTCATCTTCAGTATTGTTGGTGGTTTTCAACCATACATCCTAATGAACATTTGTTATTCTATGGCTTCAATCAATCATTCATTCATTCATTCATTCATTCATTCATGCTTAGAGAAACCTCCAGGAGTCTGCTATCATGGTGGGAAACCCAAGCTCTACTACCACAATGGACGGGGCAGAATGGAGTTCATCCGGTGGTGCCTAGCTGCAGCTGGAGTACAGGTAGGTTCTGAGAGGTCATCTTAAATTGGATCTAAAATTGACCTTACCAGATACTTTTCCCTCAGAAACTATGAGATGTTTCTTACTAAATGACTTATCAAGTGTTGTACCTTAAATGAAAATTGGCAGTTATTAAGAAAGAGATGATGAATTTGATCCAATAAATTGCTAAAATATCTTTTCATCTAAGAGCACAACCATTAAGATACATTTAAGAAACTAATCAAAATGTGTGAACCTTAACTGAACTTGGATTTAAACAAACTATAAAAAAATATGGCATTTATATAACAGTTAGAAACATAGATATTAATTGAATATTTGATGTTATGACAAAATTATTGTTAATGTTTCTTGTGTGATAATGTACTATGGCTATACTTAAAACCATTCTTCTGTTTTAGAGAAACACATTGAGGTTTCTAAGAATAAAATATATGGTATCTGGGATTTCCTCACATCATTACAAGGAGAAAGTGGGTGGGCACGTAGGTGAAAACACATTGGCTTTAGTTGGTGTGAATCAAATATAAAATTCTAAGCCTCTTCCCCAGACCCAGCCATCTGAATGGACCCTCTTCTCAGCAAGGGCATTACTAAGCTAACCTGAAAAACCAATTTAGGCCATGATGGGAAGTGGGGAATTGGACATGCCCTCCTCTCTTTTGGAATTACTGATAGAACAGACTCTAAGTCTGATAAGAAACATAACTTTCAATGGTAAAAACCGTAATTACTTTTGGACCAACCTGACACAATTTATTTTCTCTGAAGCCTGCTACCGGGATGCTTCATCTGCATGATAAAACTTTGGTCTTCACACCCCCGTATTATCCTAACCCAGATATTCCTTTCTATTGATCCCAGGTCTTTAGATCATAACTCTTTCAATCAACTGCCAATTGGAAAATTTTTAAATCTACACAAAACCTGGAAGCCCACACTTCCAGTTGTCCTGCCTTTCTGGACTGAACGAACGTACATCTCTATAATTGATTGATGTCTCATGTCTCCCTAAAATTAAGCTATATCCCAATCACCTTGAGTACACGTTCCCAGAATCTCCTGAGGACTGTATCACGGGCCATTGGTCACTCATATTTGGCTCAGAATAAATCTCTTCAAATATTTTACAGCGTTTCACTCTTTTCCCTAACATTGATAATCATTGATTCTATGTGAGGAATATAAGAAAGGTCATTATACTTTTGTGTTATTTTTATACACGTTAGAAATTTATACAATAAGAGGATAAAAAGGCATAAAATTAGAAAGTGAATGTAAAGTGAAACTGCATACTCACCTGATAAAGACTCAGAATATTAATTCAATGATTATTTTGTTGTGCACCTACTAAGTGCCAGATTCTGTGTGAGGTTCTGGAGGTTGAGAGTGAACAAGACAGACTCAGTCTCTGCCCTCGGGTAGCCTATATATCTATAAGAATGGAGACAAGTAAACAGGTGATTAAAATCAGGAGCTTCCAGGAGAACGTCCAAGCATTCCTCAGTATTACTAGATCATCCACCCAGCGTCTGAGGAGGAAATGCAGGGAGATGTCTCTGGGACTCCGTTGAGTGCTGCCCTCTAGAGGTGTCACTGAGAAAAACACTTCCCGGTCCGGGCCAGAGTCCCTCAGTAACTGCCTGAGGGTTTTCCGGAGTGAGTCTTGGACAAACTCAGGAGATCTTGTCCCCTGGATGGTAGCAGAAAAAGAGGGTTTCAGGTGAGGTGGTGTCCTGTGAGGGGAACTTGCAGTGAGCCCCTTCAGCCTTACAGCGCCGTGTGGAACTGAACCTCGGGACGGCACTTTCTCCATTGCTTCACGAAGGCTTGGAACTTTAGCCTCACCCTTTCTCAATCCTACGAATAAACAGGCACACAAAAAATCCACACACTGTCAGGTTTTTTTTTTCCTTTTTCTTTTGTACAAATGAATACCCCGTTTCACTGTTACCCAGACGTCAGCTCTGCAGCTGAGGGATACGTTCAGAGCCCGGGCAGGAAGAGTTCAGCAGGAGGCAGGGAGGGAGGGGCAAGGCAGGGAGGAACCCAGGCTCCCTGGTCTCCTTCCAGTCTGACTTGAAGGCGGGGGCGGGGCTGACTGCAGCCCTTGCTCAGGCTTCTGGGGTCTCAGTGCCCTAAGGCTGATGATCACAACCCAGTCCTCAGCCTCACAAGCACATCCCACTTGCCAACCCCACCCCACCTCGGTCACCCTCCTGCCAGGACGACCCACCATTCCTAAGGTTTTTCCTGAACTGGACGCTGTATTAATTGCTGGCACACCCTTTCTGCCCCCGCCCACCCCTCCCCCACCCCGCCCCGCCCCGCCCCACCATGACCTCTAGATCCTGGTCCTGTGTGATCACAGATCCACAACCAACTCTGTTCCACGGAGCAAGCTAGAAACCCCCAATTTCCTGACATTTCACCATAAAGAAGTCTATTAAAGCACAATTAGCCACTTCAAACACCACTACTGTTTATTACTTGATGTATGTGGGTCCAGCCCTGTATGATGCATTTTGAAAACATTAAAATATTCGGTTAAGAAAACGTTCTATGCCCATTTTGCAGATGAGGGAACTAACGCTTAAAGATGTTAAGTGCTGATTCCCAGATCACACAGCTATTACGAGGCAGAGCCAAGATTGGAATCAGATCATATTAACCGTGAAATCCTGAAAATCTTTGTAAGTATCTGCTTTAACTTTTATTTTTATAGATTCTGCGTATTAAGTCAACTGCATCATTATGTAATAACTGATTTTCATATTTATATTAAATACCTGCATCCACTCAGAGTTTCTGATCAGATTTAGACAACCTTGCTGGCTGCCAGTCCAGCTACTCTCAGGACAAAGTGTAATTTATTTCAAAGTTTAAATTACTGGACACAGGTCAATAAGAGAGTATATATTCAGTGATCTTTGATTTAAGTTTTTTGAAAAGGGTGCTATGAAATAGCAGCCATCTCTCAGAGTTCCAAAACGTATATTTAATGAGCATTTATTATATACCTGCTACTTTTCCAAGTGCTTTGCATGACTTTATAATTTAATTTTCATACCAATCTTTAACAAAACCATCATAAGTATATCCATTTCATAGGTTAGGATACTGAGACACAGAGAGATTCAACAATGTGTCCAAAATCAAGAAGCCAGGACATGAAAATAGTGATATTAAACCCACACAGCCATATCATAAACCAGAGATTTTCATTAAAAATAACATTACTGTGGGGACCCTAATTCCTTCCTCAAATTGAGAATTCTACTCTATTGTATTCCATTTACTCCAGGAGGGGAAATTATCGTTGCAAGAGTTAAAGTTGTGCAACAGCAGGACCTATCTCATGCTTAGTAGGGCTCCTAACAAGTGGGGTGATATAAACTACAACAGAGGTTCCTTGGTGGCAGAATCTTTGATAGTTGTTAGCCCATTGCATAGCCCACACTCGGGACACAAAGGCTGTGGTCTGATCTCACCCGGAGACACACGGTTTCCTATGATATGACAACACCATAACTAGAAGAACTGCCTGATCCCTTAACTCCAGTGACATCCTCTCTCAAATCATGACCTAATCACGGACATGGGAGCGATCAGGGTGTACATGAAGTGAATTAAAAGATTGAGTGGCTATGTGCTGTGATCCATGCCTTTTTCTTGATGAATCTAGTCTAAATTTCCCAATAGCCATGACCAGATCCCTCTGGGTGCACTGCCAAACTCAGAAATCTTATAGCCTCCAAATTGTTTACCAGACATTAGCCATTCAAAGTTAAAAGTCTGTAATGCTATGGAATGACCTATCAGCCCATTTACAGAGTCAGCCCATTTACTGACTCTGCTTTTGGTTTGAAGAGAAATTTCTAGAATCAGCAGAAGATTTGGAAAAGTTAAGAAATGGTAAGATCAAGTCTCTACACGTCTCTGATGAAGGTATCTGGTAGAAAGTACACTTGACGGTTTTAATACCAGGCCGTGTCTATGTGTGTGAAAGGTGGTGGTTGGGGTGGTGGAGAGGGAAAAAAGTGGTTAAAGTAGAAAGGGTGGGGCTCCTTGAGCAGGTCTGTCAACTCTCTCCAGGTTAAAAGGGCCAAATCCCTTAGAGTATTTGCTAGAGGAGCCATCCCCAGCGAGTTGAGAATGGCCTCTCCTTGCTTTCATGCTTTCGACACTGTGAATGAGCTGTGGTTGGTTCAGGATCCCACATACCCCTCCCTATCTAAGGACACGCACGGACGTGCATTGGAGGAAAGGAATTGAAGCAGGTCCATCTTGAATTCATTTCTCTTATTAATTCGACAAGGTGATATTCTTGCAACATTGTAGGCTTAGATGATGAGACAGTGTTGAATTGGTTGGAAGTCAGGTCAGAGGGTGAGGAGGGACATGAGCCAGGGCAGCAGCAGTAGGGTGAGGAACACAGCACCCACCCTGTGCACACTGTCCAGTGGGGGTATTAAAGAGCACACAAAGGGCCTACATAGAAACTTCTCTCAGAACTGTGTTTAACGTCTTTACACCATGAGATTTACTTTGAAAAATTCCCATGTTATATGGCGTCTGACTGGTGGGCTTGCAGCAGCCTCTCCCAACTTCTTCCTAAAATATCCATGAAGATATACCAACACAAAAAATACAAGGGACCTATTATGTATCTGGATGAGGAATAAAAACATAAATGAAATAACAGGTTAAAAGGCAAGAGGAAGATTAATAAGAAAAAGAAGGACTACAGGAAGCTAAAAACAAATTCTATTTCATTTGAGAGGTTATACCAGGCAATAATTTCTTTTCTGTTTTATAAATTTAGTCATTGCAGCGAACATTTCTTCACGCTGAAAGACTGGGATTCATAGACATCTCACTCTCCTTTTTTTCCCTTCTTTCTAAAGATGGAAGTTTGATGTTCCAGCAAGTGCCAATAGTTGAGATTGATGGGATGAAGCTGGTGCAGACCAGAGCCATTCTCAACTACATTGCCAGCAAATACAACCTCTATGGGAAAGACATAAAGGAGAGAGCCCTGTACGGTATATTTTCTGTTTTTCCATCCACAGAGAACACAGAGTGATTTAGGTCCTTCCTTGAGTGGGCAGGACCGTGGCAGGGGCATTATGGTCAGCAACAGGCTGGGCCTTGGGCATGTAGGCTGAGTTGCAGTATTCCAGAGTCCCATCTCTCGCCCTAGGCATGTCTTTATCTTTTCAGTGGCTACATGATTTGAGCCCCCAAACTACAAAAGAGATTTTTTCACCCAACCATATGAATTAACACCTAATGGGGATAAAGAAAACCTAAAGTCACAGTCAGTACTCTGCCCCAAGTAGAAACTGTAATCTTCTGCCTGGATCACTGCCAATTTCAAAGAATGACAAGAACAAAAGCTAAGAGTGAAGAACTTCTTTTAGTTTCAGGGATGACCCACAGAAGAGTTTGTACACATGGACAGAGGTCCAGTGAGAACCTCAAACTCAGTGTACTGTGAGATTGTCTTGAAAAACAGGCTTCTGGGCCTATGCCTACGTGCTGCCTCTTTTTTTTTTTTTTTTAATGACAGATAACACTTCTTGATAGCATGACACAAAGCAGTACCACAAAAGACTGAAAAGAAACAAACAGGCAAAAAAGGTCTGGTTCTATTAAGGATGGTAAGCAGATGAGAACCAATAAAAAACCAAGGTCCAAACTGAGAATAAAAAGTGAAAGAGCTCAAAGCAAAGAGAAAAGAGTTCAGCCCAGGTGCAGACTTGCCACAAGGCACAAGGAGCCTTTGTGGATACTGCACCTGGTTGAAGGCTGGGGTCCATGGCAATGGGCAACATAGACCATGTCTTGTCACAACCTCTAGAAAAACTGTGAAAGTGAATGAAGACAACCCAAATGAGAATAAGCAAAAGGTGTTTATTTTGAGCTTGCTATAGTAAGGAAGTCAGACACCATCACTTGCATTTGCCAGAGATTCAGAGGCAGTCGGGAAAGTCTGAGAGATTTATGGTGAAAAAACGTATGCCCTGATTGCAGGTTGTTGGCATGAAGATGCTATAAGCTGGCTAACTAGAAGCATTAATTTCTATGTGATTGGTCAGATTTACTTTCTGTGTTTGGTCATAAACTGATAGTGAAGGCAAAAATTAGGAAAGTTGGCAGTTATTGACCAAATGTTGGCATATTTGACTGTTGTAAAGGTCATGATGGAAGCTGTTTAGTCTATAAGGGCACTAAGAGGTAGAGGGTGTCTTAACAGTTTGGCTGCTATAACAAAATACCATAGACTGGGTAAAGAACATATGTTTCTATCTCACAGCTCTGTAGGCTGGGAAGTACAAGATCAATGTACCAGCAGATTCCACATCTGGGGAGCGCCTGTTCCTTGGTTCATAGACAACCAATCTCTGACTGTGTCCTCACATGGCAAACATGCCAAGGGAGTTCTCTAAGGTCCCTTTCATAAGGGGACTAATGTCATTCATGAGAGCTCCACCCCATGACTCCTGAAAGCCCACCTACTAACAGCATCACATCGGGAGTCAGGATCCCAACATATGAATTTTGGGGAAACATAAACATTCAGTCAATAACATAAGGCAACAGAGAAATAGTGCTTGTGCATTTGTGGGACATTGACCTTCATGTCCAAAAAGCCTTCCTTGATGTTAATTGAGCACTTGACTCTCAAGGCATGGTATAAAAATAGACTGTCACGAAGAATTTCACAGGTTCTACCAAGGAGTCCCATGATACACGACTCTGAACTATGTATGCTACAATATAGCATCTGATGTTGCATTTTCTTTATGTATCAAGTAATTATTTACACTTAGATATATATACACAGTCTGAAAGGGTATTTGCCAAAATGTTACCTTAAATCAGTGATGTTGTATGTTTTCTCATTTTATTATTTATGATGTGAATGTGCTGAAATATTTTAATAAATATCACATATCACTAAAAATTTTGTTATGAAACATTTTATATATTCACAATAGTTGAAAGAAATATTTTAAGACCATATATACACCAACCACCTAGACAGCAAAATTAACATCTCCTCATCTGGGCTTTATCACATGTGGCAGTCACTCCACCCCTGTCTCCCTCAGTCAAACACAATTTTTTTTTTTTTTTTTTTTTGCATTTCAAAGTAAGTTGCAGACATCAATGCAGTTCACCCTGGATACTGTGGCATGCAGATTATAACACAGTGAAATCAGTAAGCGCCAATGTTTCAAGAAAGGGAATGAATTCA